AACTGAAACAAATTAACTGCACAAGCCACTAAGTCCCTGTTTATAAACTTGATAAACTAGCTGAAGTCTTGATAAACAGATAACCTCCAGCTTTTCTCCAATGGCTTCTTTTCTAATGTAATGCTTAGTTCATAAAAACTCTAGCTCAAGCTGCAGGACACGTTCCTATGTAAACATTGGGTTTCTATACTGTTTTAAAGGTACAGTAAAACTCCAATGAATTGCCCGGGGTTTTATTTGAGTCAGTCACTGAACTCAACCTGTCTATATGGGACATGTGTTTAATTCCTTACGCACAAAACTCTTGCTCAGATGGGAAATCCTATCAAAATGTTTTTTCAAAGTATGACTATTACTTGTATAAAAAAAAAATATTTGGTTATAGAATAACATATCAACAACAAATCATTAATTGAATCTAAAGATAGGGACAGCACATCTAGGGCAACCTCATACAGAGAGAAAGCCACGTATCAAAAATACTGGCAACCTACCTCAGAGTTTGTAACCAGGAAGGGTAACGAATCATTAAGGTTAAAAATAGGGCTAGGATATGGTTGGGGTGGTTTAACAATGTGGTTTGGGTGCCCATTGCTTAAAAATGTCATTGTTTCCATTTGCATCAAGTTACCACCTATACAAACATCAACAATACATATAGTTATGAAATAACATTAATACTGAGGGTCTATTTATTGCCCAGTCCCACATTAGACCTTGGTATACCAGAGTCTGTGGATTTTCCATTACATTTTCACATTTTTCTGTTCATGATGTTTGTAACAACAGTAACTTCTGTAGTAGCCATGGCCTTTGCTGTTCTCACAAAAAGCTAACAGACACCCACAACAGATGAGACCTTTCTGAGAGATCTCTTAAGTGCTTGTGTTGATCTGAAAAGCTTTCAATAGGCATTGCACTTTGATGTTACACTGCAGTTGAAGTTTTTTCTTTTAACCATCTTTGACTGTGTTTCACTGAGTCATTCTTCAATCTGATTGACTTGGACTGACTGAATATTTTACACACAATGTGGTCGAAACAATTTTTTATTTTTTGAAAAAACCTAAAATGCAGATCGAAAATGTGAAAATAGCTTTTGCATTTCTTTGTACTTGAAACCCTGAGAGGGTGGCAAGCACAGTATGTGACAAGCTGATAATGAAGGTGTCTTTTGTTTTGCCTTGCCTTTTCATTTTACTCCGTCATGCCTTTATCTGCTTCAAGAACTGCACAGGACTCAGAAGTTGGATTGTCAGTACTGCAATTTCTTAAGCGTGCCAATATCCAGTAGACTGTCCTCTGCTGTATCTCTGAAGCAGCAAAACCTTTTCAGTGGGTATACATTTTAAGTTGCAAGTAGGGGTGACGCAAGCAAGATATGACAACACAGTAGACAAGATGGAGATGGAGTACAACAGTGTGGGCATGATTGATAAAGCAATTTCTCTGCTTATTTAAGTTTCTTGTTTTATCTGTGAGCTCCACAGTTGGTAATGATATCTTTAATATCTTGGTCTGGTTGTGGATTTTTTAAAGACCAGAGGTTCACCACTTGTTTAAACATTTTATTTAGCACTCCGTACTATTTTGTCATGACATTGTTTCTTCATTTAATGGTTTTAATGTGACTGTTTCAGAGAGCATAAAATGTTCCCTAAATTGTGTTTTTGTTGAGTATACAATTTTTGATAAAGAAAAAGTGGGATTATAAATGTCTACACAGATAACAGCTCATATAAGGGTGATATAAGGTATAAAGGTGAGTTGTATAGCCTTACCATTTCTCTTGAACACATCCCTCCGCCTCTCTTAAAACATTTTCACAAACTCCATGGGGAGGCAAGATTTAGACCTAAAAGAAAACTGTTTAAAATGCTTATGATTAGACTACAACAACCCTCCAAGTGCTTATGCAAATAAAACCACAGGCCTGCCTTCCCTTTGGCATACACAAGAATACATATACAGTGCTATATACAGTATACTCCCCCTAAAACAGCTCTGCTATTATGTTTATACTACATTGTTGCTTGTTATATCATCTATGCAAGAAAATATGACTACTACCAGCCACGACTTGCTAATTTTTAACAGGTGATGATGGCTGGGTTTTATTATTATATAATGTTCGGTTGTGATTTTGAAAAATAAATAACTTGTACCAGTGCATTTGGACATTCACGTCTACCTACCCTAACACTATAGTAAAAGCTATATCTGTAGTCATGTCTCCCCTAAAATATTTTGTTACAGAGGTGGCTTGGTATGGGGGTGCATATTCAGCAGCAGACACTACTGAATGAATCATAGAAATACAGGAATATTACAGGAATACTACAGGCAGCAGTGCGATCCTCTCACTCCCCTGTGACTAAACGTGGTTACTTGTCAATTTAATCATGAAGGTGACACCACTCCATAGAATATATAGGCTACATATGGTATAGTGAAGTGATTATGTATAATATTTGGTTTAGAGAATATTAGATCCAAGAGGGTGAAATTATAAATCCATCTACTACTACAGCACTGGATTTATTAATACACAGCAAAGTTAAAGAGGTACTCCACACTTAAACATGTTTTTTGAGCTGTAAACTAGATTATATGACTGTACTGAGCACACCAATGCTGTTGTAAATACTGAAATTCTTACCAAATTTACGACAGTTGGTGTTTCATGGATTGAAAAAGGCTCAACACGCCATCTACTGTTGCAAAGCCCTGTGAACCTTGCAAGGCCAATGCTCAGATATAGTTGATTGTTTGGGACTACTGTATGTCGACATTTATATAAAAAAAGAGTGTTAACGCCCTCTAATCAGAGGAGTGCAACCCACCTCCTCCAGCCTCTGTGAAAGTGTTGTTCTCATTTACAAATGTATGCTGATTGAGAAAAATCATTAAGAATTCATGCTATTTTCTGCTAACACTCTACTTAGTATTTTTCCATGTTGGTGCAGTGGTTCAGACTTGTTCGAAGCACCACTGGACTGCAGTCTTTACCTTTATCCCATGCACAGTCAAAGACACACAACACATACTGGAGAGGTAGCCTGTCTGAGCTGTTAGCTTAGCGACAAGACAACTGTTAGCTTGCACAACACAAAACTGCAATGAATGTGCTTTTAGTGACTGTAAAAGCTCCAGCGGACTCTATAAGTTTCCAGCACAGACACAGAGCATCTGACAGCAGCAGCACATAGCTGGTTAGCTCTGACTACTAGTTCACTATTCTTGCTACACTCCAGTCTGTCAGTCTGTCACTTACTCCAGTCTGTCAGTCTGTCACTCACTCCACTTAACTTTCACAAAACTGAGGCAGATAAAGCATGAATGAGTCAGGCAGACTAGATTAACATATTCAAACAAACAGGGGATGCAGTTTGGTCCTTTCAATTTGCCTACTGATTACTACCCAGTGTTCACATACTTGATAATTAATTTGTTGTACCCAATGGTGTACAACAAATTAAGTATAGAGTATGTGAATAAAAACACAGATTTACACGCTCTTGAAAGTAAAACACCTTATGGACCACAATTGAAGGAATAAAACATCTAAACACATTTGCCTAAAAAAACTGTTTATGAGAAAATAATTCTTCCCTTTGAAGTACCAATAAATTCAGCAGGGTTAGATGGAAATGAATCATAGCAACATGCACAATGTGGCCTGCCAAAATAGTTGTATGAACACCAAATTTTGTCTTAGCCAAGGCCAGTATCCTCAAAGTTACTGACTCAAAGAGCAGCAGTATGACAATGTTAGAGATTACATAAACTAGGGTTACAATGAAAAACCTTAATTGTACTTTTTACCGGTTTTGCTCTTTACATGCTATAGTGGAGCCGAGCCCAATGCTTGCCATAACATCAACCCAACACAGCAGGCCGTAAACCTGTGGTATGCTAAATGTCACCTATCAAAATGCTTCAATATTAGGTAAAGGAAGGTAGGACGTCATTAACCTACCTTTTATGACAGCTTGCTTATCCAACCTAATATATATACACAGTATATAAACTGTACAATATAACCTCTAAAGTTCTAAATGTTCACAGTTAAGACAGGGATCAAAAGTTAAGAAATAGCTGTTTCCATTTAATAGTATGGTCTAACGAGCAGGCGACTAAGGTCAACGTTGAGTGTTTGACTCCCAGAAACGAAGGTCGGATAGTACCACAGAGTGCACGAACCTTGCTCTGGTGGGTTAAAAGAACCATCAAAAAGGCAGAATCCATTAGACTGGCAAACATATGCTCTCGACTGACCAAGGGAGGCTCTTGATCTGGAACTTAAAATTGTGCATTGGCTGCTAATCACACTAGTGAAGACATTCTACCAGAAAACTCAACTCAGTGGATGGAACAGAGCCCTGCTATGCTGTGGTTTGATTCCTACTGGTCTCACTAAATACATTAAAGAAAAAAAGATATTTACATATTATGCATTTTTCTGTCTTTATTATGTGGGGAAGTATTTAATCAAATTAATTCAATAATCAATTAATATTTAGCATGCCAATCAACCCTGCTATTCAAATAATGTCATGCAAACAGGACTCTGAAACTAAAGCAGTAATGTAGCCTTATTACTGGCTGGTGCTTTTTCTGAGCATTCCTGTTGTTTACAGCCACCACAGACCTTTACTGAAAAGGTGTGGAAACCCCTGTCAAATAACTGCGACTCTAAAGCCTAACAGAATAGGAATGCTCAATGAGCCATGGCATCTTCACTTCTTCTCAGATTTAAGTGCAAAATTCATCATTTCAAAGATGCGGATTCATCTTCTACAAGTATGAAAGGACACAGGCCCCCTCTCACACCCATAAATGATCATTCTCCCAGCTGTGTAACATTTACAACTGCAATATCATTACAGTAGATTTCATTGCGTACTGTACCATTTCTTCTCATAGCAGTGGTTATGAAGAATTTTCTGTACAACTATTTCCTACTATTATCTTTGAACGCTACCTTTTGAATGTCTCACCTGAAAGGCCACTGATGACAGACAGGAGGAGAAATGGTTTCCATGGTGACCCCATACTTGTTTAAGAGGGTCCCTTCTGCGAGAATGTTAGCAGGTCTGCTTCTTCATTAAAGCTGTGCCTGCAAACAGAAAGAGAGAACATTAACTGGTGGGAAGATAAACCTTTAATTATCACATACATCCAAAATCACACGGTCGAACTCAACAGCTGTCAATCCACAGTTGGTCTGCACTCATACAATTCACTGTGCTAATCTCACTAAATCACTTATTTGCATTTTGGATCACTAAAAGAAAATATAATAATAATTATTAAAATAATAAAATAGGTTTCTTGTGATCTCACTGTGCAAAACATAGATTCCCGTGGAACAGCAGTTTTTGTTGCCTGGGCAGTAATTGGTGTAGAAAAAAATAAGAGAAGCTTGTGATGTCAACAGAGCCTGTGTATTTGTTATTTATAGTACTTGTGTGTGGTACAAAAACATTAATGCCATACAAAATATCATTTCTAAATATTTAACATAGGCAGTATAGTGTTGTGTTGTCAGTTCCCATCCCTTCCTGGGTTCTCACACATTCTAATTGTCTGCCTTCTATCATAGAGCTTAAAAGTCCCCCTCCTACTTCATTACTGTTGCAGGTCTTGTGCTTAGAAAAATCACACGTTTCATGGAATCAATCAGATTGTGGCTGGCACCCATAGCACTAACTAGGCTCTAAAATGGGTTGTCAGTAAACTGTCAGTAAATGCATGCATACTGTTCATTTACTTTATACACAAAAACTAGAGCAAGTATTCAGTGTTTGCTTAGCTGATTTGCAGAGTTTATTCTTATTCCTAACATTTTCTTCTCACCGGCAGAACAAATGAAAGTTTAAAGATGTTGACCAGATACATATTTAAAGATATTAAAATATCTTCCTGACAAACATTCCCAAACACGCACACATTTTCTCATGTTTAGTTTACAGAGTATCAAACTAACACATGTATGCTCCAAATACACATTGTGACTAGTCCTTAAACTGAGGAATGAGTTGATGGTGCTGTGAATAAATGACTCTCTGAATTACATGTATGTTTTGTATAAATACAAAATAAGCATTTAAAAACAACAAGGTGTCCCAAAAACTAAAGTAAATGTCCTCCTTTAATTTTGTTTTCTATATCAGGACACCCTCTATACTATATTATATTTCTATATCAGGAGCATATTCTCGCATTCATACCAGACATACCAAATCATTCATTTTCAACAGTTTGTGGTTAGTTTAACCTGTGGTTGGATTCGTTACACCAGCGGATTAAAGCATTGTCACTGTTGCTATGTTTTTGTGCATTTTAATAAACCTTGCGCACTGAATTAGAAAACCTCTTTTCACATGAAAGCGAAGCCCTTCACTGATGACGTTCATCCACACACCCTCACAACTGTATGAGTTACTTGTGCAACAACCACATACAACATATTATTCAATTAATCTATGTTGACAATCACTTTACCTGACCTATATAGCCTTAAAGCCACAATAATAACACTGATATTCAGAGGAAAATGTGTATAAAGGATGGCACCTGAAACTATAGATGCCATTCTATTTGCAAACAATGCTAATTGGAAGTGTAGGCCTAAAGTATAAAGAGAGTAAGATCTGCTGACCTTGTTATTCTCCTTCAGCACCATTCATCTCCACAACTGCAGTACTTCTCCATTTATGTGATATTTTCATTCTCTTTATCAACATGTTTCAATGTATGCTCCCTGTCTTTGTTTCTCTCACTCTCTTCCTCTCTTATCTCTCTAACTGGCTCTCTCATCTTCATTTAAGTTTTCTGTCATTTAGATCATTAATGCAGTGGCACAGACAGCTCTGAGGGTTGCAGGAAGCATGTCCAGATCCAGCAGGAGTCGTCTCACATTCATCATTTATGCCTCCTTGTCTTTGCCTCACCTCATTTGCTCCCTATCCTCCCAGAATGCACCAGCAGATGTACTAGTGGGTTAAACAATTAGTGACTTAGCAATTAGGCTATCTGTTATTGAGAGACAGAGAGAAAGAAAAACAGAAAGAGAGATAAACAAACACAATGATCCATTTCCTTCCTTGTAATAAAAGGAGTTTTCTGCTGTCTTTTTGCAGGTTGTTTGCCATTTGTAATCAGCTGCTCTTCCCTGTAAATGTAAGCCTTTTCTCTACAGCTGGAAATACATTTAAAAACTTACAATGGCACTTTATGTGGCTATTTCTTTGTTCACCGATGCAAAGAATTAAACAGCTGAAGGTCTGCCGTCTAGACAGCTGTCTGCAGACTGGTAAAACTGCTCTGTTTTGAAAAAGGGCCTCACCCTCCTTCACCTAACTATGACCTCCCTTTCAGCTTACTTGCATACAGGAGTATAGAAATATAACATACCATAGCAGTGTGACAGAACACGAGCAGAAGCCTATTAAACACACAAATCACCTCAGGGAAGGACGCCTTCTCTGTCCCTTTTCAGCACTTCACTTTATTCTTGGCTGCATAGGTCAGCTTGTTGTCATACAAACCCCTGGGTACATGTTGGACTGAACAACTTCCACATCAGCCCACAGTTGGTAACTGGAGTCTGAAACACAACTCTTCCTACAGGAATCCATCAGCAGCTCCTCTGATTGATCATCTCTGGCCTGCCGTGTATTTTTGCAGAATAGAAGACAAAGTTCTGTCCATGTTCACACCAAACCTAGTATTGTCATAAAACTCTGGAAAGTAAGACCAAGTTTATCCTTTTCAAATGAGACCGTAATAAAGGTGGACACAATTCCAAAAGGCAAGATTTCATTGATGCATATGATGAAATTAAATGCTGTGTTGTGTACATTGCCATATTGTGTACATTGCCATATTGCTGCTATATGATCATATGAAGTCATTTCAGCATGAATTCTGAAATGAAAGCAACATTTCTTTCGAAGCTGACTGACATGCTAGCCCTGCAACAAGGACAAGATCCCTCACTTGCTTCCAATCTGGAACACTGCCAATTGTGTTTAGAATTATTATGTTTAGAGATCTTTAACATTTGATAATAGAATTCTCATAAGATCTGGAATGCATTTTATAATTTATTCCAGAGCCAAACACATCCTATGTACAGCATATCAACACACACCTGATTATCTAACAGTTCCATTAGTTATATTGCTCAGGCGTCAGTCTGACAGCACAATGCAGAGTCTGACGTTAAAGCTTAACGTTTCATGGCTCACACACGAGCAAGGTGCATATGAATTTACAGTTCAGGGAAGAGAGAAGAGGAATCCAATCAATATTGAAATGAACAGATACTCATTGTTATGGTATCAGTTTTGAAAATGAAAAAAAAAAAAGAATATAATAATCTATAAGTCGCACAGGTATAAAATAAAGTGTATTGCAACTGCACATAAGACAAAATCTTTAGAGAACAGGCATTATTGTGGAAATATTACATCTTTAGTTACCTGCATTACAGTAACTGGGATTAGGGATCTCTCATCTACTGTCAAGCATTTAGGATTCTGAGAGAACATGGGTCCCTTGTGTATATCAAATAAAGTTGGTCTGCACTCAGACAACCTAAAGTTCACCTTACTTGACTGCTCAGTGTCTCACAGAACTCTGGCAGACATGTCATTTGTGGACTCAGATTTCACTTTCCAGTCAACCATATACTTTATACGAGAGAGAAATAAATTGGTAGAATTGTTTTTGATTCACAAGAGACAAGCCCACACAAAGCATATAGGCTTCAGAGCATGATGGCATGAAAAAGTTGGCTCAATTAGGTAGGAACACCTGCCAACGAAACACGAAATAAAAGACAGGAAACCACAAGAAAAGCATAAACATAAGACATACACAATCCATCAATTAAATCGACAGAAATTATCCAAATTTGAATACTCTCAATAGTACCCTGCAACCCTCCAGGTGTGTGCTATATACAGTCGGGGGCTGTAGAGCTGGATTCTGCCACACTTCTGTCCAGGCAATCACAGCCCAGCCAGATGGTTATTAATGAGGTAGTGTGCAGGGTGCCACAAGGTGCACTGACAGTTCGGAATGTGCTGCCTCTGCTTGGTCTCATGGCTGTGTTTGTCTCCACAGGGCGTGTTACACATAAAAACAAATGCAGACATCGTTTGCCAGGCCGAGCTTCAATAAACCAAATCACCTAATAACATCACCACAGTAGCTGTCCTCTCATCAGCCACTTGTAACAGTATTATTCAGGACAATACAAGGCAGTGGCATGTGCTTCTGACAGTCTCGTAAAAATTGAATGAATGTTCACATACACTGCAGTGTGAGTGCTGGAATACATGTATAGCTTCTTGTTACAGATTATTCAACGACCAGCCTGTTTCTCTATTCAAGCTTAAACACAAAGATATTTGTTGTACAAACGTATTAGAGCAACAAAGGTTGAGTCATGAAGGCAAGCGAAAGCCATGATGACAAATGTAATACCCAGATAAATCTAGATCTTGATTGTAATTATCGTTTTCGCACACCCTTGTCTCACCTTGTCACCAATTCCAATTAGCATACATCTTGTGCATCAAGAAAGGCAAGTATATCTAAGGATGAGACCAGAAATTTAATCAGTGCCATCTTGTAGAGTGCAGCACTTGAGTTGCCGACACACGCGCGAACACACACAAACTGTGTTAAATTACAGCACATACAGTAATCAAGTAGACAAAAAAGATCAAAGGAAATTATTTGTCATTTGTGCAATTTGCTGTTCTCCTTCATGAGCTTATTGTTCGATCTTATCACATTTTTATTTAATAAAAATGGCCCTTTGTGTATTTCTATGACGTACATGAAGCAAATAAAATGATAAAACAACGTAACCCGGCGCTAGCTTTTGTTTTTTTTCCGAAACCCATACCGTGTAATTTGTGCTAGTAATAAGTGGTAGAGGAAGTAGTGATTACAGTAGTGGTAATGATAGTCATAGCATAGTTGTAGTAGCATCTGTACCAACAGAAGCAGCACAACTAGCAGAAACAAACATCCGCCTTCTCCTCTGTAATCATTTGAATATAACCATCCTAAAAATATGTGTAAGAGGCAGTGAGTGAA